AACAACATTGGTTAATATTAAGGTAGGCTATAATAAAGCTAGATAAAATAAAGCCATCAATGTTTAAGCTGTATGCATATATTATACGTAGTGTGTAGTCAAAATTCATATAATTCCTTCCATGGGCAACTATTAAAAAATATTGGAAGTGATTAAAAAAGGTACACATATAATATAGGTATACMTAATAAGTGACTGGCCAAGTTTGTCCTCGTAAATTCTCTACCACCTGTTATACAAGATATGCTACTCTATAGCCACCTCCTGCCAATGATTTAAAATGTACATAAAACTTCTATTTGAATGCTTAATAGAAATTAATTATTCAACTGTTGAAAAATTTAAATAAAGCTAACTCTGTAAACTGCAGGTCGTTTGATAAAATAATTACATATTTGTATTACAATTTGCACATAACAATTATTTTTTAATAATTATCTCAAGGTGATGTTATTATTCACATTCAAAATCGATAGATCCATGTAGTTAATAAAAAATAAAATATTTAAACCACCTGATTTTTCTAAAGACGTATATGAAACTTTTGCTGACTTAATGTCAATTTTTTCAGACAGAATACTTACATTCCAAATAAGACAGAAATAAGGTGATCGTCGAGACATATTATTACTGAATCTTAACTTAACTGATATTTACTATGTACTTATTATAGTTAAGGCCTAAGAAAAAATCKAACAACATTCCCTTTAAATGAAAACGAATATATTTTTTTTTCTTAGAGCTGTCATGGTTGTAATATGACTGAAGATAGKTATTAAAAGTATCGATTAGACATGTAKTTTACAATGTGGTAGTATTATATTTTCGTRAAAACATTGATGCATAAAATATATTTAATTTAAATAAATAAGCCTYGGTGTCTATGGCCATTGGCWTAAGGAGTTTAAGATTAACAATTTTTAAGAATCTAGTATTTACATATTATATAAACAAGAACAGATTATACACTATTTATAACATTGGATTCAATTAAAAAGTTCATCATTTGACTCTATGGTATCTGGATGGAGAGCTTCCGAYATGATATTATTTGATATCCCAGCTTCTTGTTTGTCTGTTTTATAAACACGTTATTTGGATACAATATGTTTGATTTATTGAAAAATAAATTTAATATGAGGTCATCAAAACTGTAAATGATTATTGTAAAACATTTKATGTTTATGCATAGGTACAGTTTTAAAGAAAACGATTCAATTTTCGATTGTRAAATAAATTTWAAAAAAACTTAYCATAAAATGATTATTTAAAATAAAAATAAATCATTGTTTTTTCTTAATCATGTTTAGTGTTAAATAGTTTTCACTCCGAAAGTTCACCCCATCAAAAAACGTCATAATCTATATGATAATTATTGCCATTATTATATATTGTCATTATTATTATTATAATGATAAACGTTCGGTAGGTGTTTGGGCGGCGTCCACTACGAACTCGCGGTGGTGTCATGGCGGACACGATTTGAGCAGTTGCGGATGCGGCGCGTACACAGCTGCGGCCGATGTGGATCCCGATGATGGCTGCGGCCGCACAACACGACAGGGTCGTACTGTCACCGCGCCGGTTGCAGCAACATCAACAGCAGCAGCACACTCCGTCACCGGATCGCGATCGACATGGTCAGCGCACATACCTACACATGGTGCCCATGTTGCCTCCTCCCGCCGTTCCATCGGTAAGTCCTGTCCCATTGTACAACCAGATAATATTATTACGTTTAATTTTGTTAGGTTTATTTCTTACTTAGACTTAGGCTACTTACTAGGCCATTTAGAAAATATTCTTACCTGTGAAATATGGTAATTAAATTTTGATTTTTACATCGTTATGAATGTAAAATGTAATATTATGATATTTTTTTTTGTATAAAGTATACTATTTTTGTATTCAAGTATAATAACTTTGTACATTATTAAGCCAAAGTACGAGCTTTTAATTTTTCTAGACAATTCTATGAATCTTTATMATTAATATTCTAACATCTGTGTAGGAATTTATGTATTATATTATTTTCAAACGTGTGGGAATCAACAGGCCTAGTATGTATTTTTAACTAATATAGTTATTGTATTGAAACTTACATTCACTCTATAATATGACTAATATAGGTCATGGCATTGTGCTCCTGTAGTATTGTGATATTGAAGAGAAAAATCAATAAAATGTATTCTGGTACTTCTTTATATTACCAAGTGGCGAGTACTGATAGTAGATCACCTCAATGTTTTCAGTCTGTTCAATATTGTGGTATTCACTGTAATCATAAGTCTAAAAAAGGACGAGAAAAATAATTATTCACTATGCCACGTACTCTTGTATACAGTAGGTACACAATAATAACCTATATTAAYCTACGCAGTTATTGGAAAATACTGGGTTTTAAAGAAAATGTACAAAATGTTTGAAAAAAACCAGTAGTAAAAATACTGTATTATGAATGTATGAAACCGACAAATAATATCATTCTACCTATGATACTTTTATGGTCATCCGTCCCTGTAGTTCTGGTAATATTTTATAGAACTTAATATTGTTTATGAAACTGCAAATAATATAGGCCATTGTGACGTGTAAGCCATAAAGGTGTTAATTTATGGTTGTAGTAGCATCTGTTTTTATATTACTATTATTATCGAGTCAATACTGCTATCATTTCTTATGATAACGTGACAATGAACAATTTAAATTTAAAAAATTAATTTTGGTAACATCGTGAGTATAAATACTTCCATAAATCCTATTAAAATATAATATTATTATCACAAGCATTATGTCCCGTGACTCGGTATTTTAACGGTGTGCGATAATCGATGATAAGAACTGTTTATTAAATATATATTAACAATAATGTGTCTGCGATGATAACGTTGGGGGAATTATTGATTCCGCCGAAACTACCTGTTTAGAAAAAAGGTTTGTATCGATTCCGCCGGCTACTGTTTAAAATATCTACATATCGATTCCGCCGACTATTAATTCCGCCGGCTACTGTTAATATTATTTACATATTGATTCCGCCAGACACTGTTTATCCCCCCCCTTGTATATGTATTTTATATAGTACATAATAAAAAAA